GAAATGCCAGCGTATAGGGTTCAAACTCCTCCCCTTTTTTTTGTCTTTTGTTGTTTAGCTGACCAATAATCCCGCAGAGGAAGGCAGCAGTTATATATTCGTTTATGTTTTATTGTTTTTCTTCTTCTCATGAGACCTTGTCGTCACACCGTGCGCACGGGGGTGCAGTGGCCGTGGGCCCCGCTGAAGACTGCCACTTCGTCAGTTTTCAGCAGCCCCGGCCATTGCGGGGTTCCTTGTGAATTTGTTTGCTGATGCGCTTGCCAGTTAGCCATGCAACTCATTTGCACTGGTGTGTTGGGCGCCGTGAGCCAGATCGTTTCCTTTTTTTTGTTGTTGCCTTCTATAGGGTTGAAGGGCAAGATCTCATTCTCGGTGCTTATTGTGTTTTTTCTTTGATAACAACTGTTAAAGTTGTTGGCATTGGAAGGGATGATATTGTTGCTTTTTGTGTGCTTCACTTTGTGGGTTATCTGGTCCGTCTACAGCTGCTTTGCCTACCGCTACAGGACGGTTGCTGGGAAAACCGTCCTGATCATTGGTGGCTCCTCGCCGCTGGGGAGATGTCTCGTCATGCAGTTTCTTAAGCTTGACACCAAAGTTATTGTGTGGGACGGGGACAAGGGGAGGTTGAATAGGCTTGCACGTGAGTTTGCTCCTGCTGTCCCTACTCACGACGAGGAAGGGGCGTGCACTCCAAGCGATGATGCACTGATGAACCCGACGGTGGGGGAGATGGGCGCTGGTGAGCGGCTATTGGTGAACGTTGTTGATTTGGCGAGTCGCGTTCAACTGCAACGTGCGGCTAAGCGACTGGGGCCTGTTCATATCATTGTTAATGCCGCGGAACTGTGTGGTTCTAAGCCTTTTTTTGATCGCAGTGATGAATCCAGTGAAAGAATTTTGCTAAACAATGTCCTTTGTTCCATTGTTCTTGCCAGGGCCGTCTTGCCGGGCATGCTGCGGCAGAAGGATGGCCACTTTGTCACCATAACAAATGCGGCGGGGGTGATGGGGGTCGCCAAGCACCCTGACTATGCTGCCTCACAGTGGGCCTCCGTTGGGGTACACGAGAGCTTGCAATTGCTGATCAGAGAGATGGGGGGACGTGGAAAGGTGCGCACGACGCTGTGTTGTCCGTGTAGTAGCTTTCGAGGCGCCGTAGCGGCGTCACGCTTATCGACCGATGGTGGTCAATTGGTGGAAGACAAAGAGGCCCCGAAGTCCTCCACTGACAGCCTGCCCTCTTTTTTTTCGTTGTGGTCACGTCCTACCACTCCTGAGGAGGTGGCGCAGAGCTGCATTTGGGCCGTTTGCCATGGCGTGGAGCGGGTGTACGTGCCAGGCACGTTGGTGTTTTTGCCGTTGCTTCGCGTGCTCCCCGTGCCGTGGCTTATGGCGATGATTTCTTCGCCGGCGCCCGGGAATCCGCAGCCCAGCTGGTGAGGCCCACAGGTTGCCTCTTCCGCCAACTTCAGCGACGAAGAGCAAACGCAAATGTGTTGTTGACAGACGTCATCGCGTCCACGCGTTTGTCGCTGGGCTTTTCTGCAGGGCGCACGCATTTCCCCCTCGCCCCCCGTTTTCTTGTTTTTGCCTTATTTTGCGTGTTTTCTCCCCCTGCTTCCCCCTCACACAGTTGGAAGGAAGCGCAAGTGAGCAAGGCAGAGAAGCGGGGAGTTTGAAAAAAAAAAATTGTTTAATCTCAATCATGGCGTCCTGGAAGGTGTTGGAACCCTCGACGATGTCGAGCCGCGCCGTGAACAAACTGGAGAGCCTTTCTACACGCAAGTCAAAGGCGCCGGCGGACAAGTCCCAACTTAAGCTCTCCATTGGCGATCCCACGCATGACGGTAATCTTGTGGCGCCAACCGCTGCCGTGGACGCCCTTGTGCGGTGCGTGGAGGGTAACCAGCACAACAAGTATCCGCCAATGGCGGGGTTGCCCGAGGCACGTCGGGCGGTGGCGGAGTACTGGGGAGCGAACTTTGCGGAACAACAGGCAGCACACTGCGAGGCGGATAACGTTTTAATCACGTGTGGCGTGTCGCATGCCCTCGTCACGGTTTTGACGGCATTGTGTGACGAGGGGGACAACGTACTCATCCCGATGCCCTGCTTTCCTTTCTATGATTTCATGTCTGATCTCCACGAAGTTGAGGCACGGCATTATCTTTGCAAGGGAGATGGCAACTGGGACATTGACTTGGATCACTTGCGAAGCCTCGTTGATGATAAGACGAAGGCGATTCTGATCAACAATCCGTCCAACCCGTGCGGCAGTAACTTCTCACGGCAGCACCTTGCGGACCTTATCCGTGTGTGTGAGGAATTGCATCTCCCGCTTATTGCGGATGAGGTCTACGCGGGCCTGGTTTTTTCCGGCGAGACATTCACCTCCGTGGCGGCATTCGACACGCATGTGCCGCGCTTCATTCTGGGCGGCCTGTCAAAGGTGTTTGTGGTTCCTGGCTGGCGCCTTGGCTGGGTTCTTCTTATGGACACACACGACCACGCCAAGGGTGTCTTGCGTGGGATGCAGAACCTGGGCGCCGTGACGCTGGGCCCATGTACTTTGGTGCAAGGGGCACTCCCGGCGATTTTGTCCCAGACGCCAGCGTCGTACTTTGCAAGAAACGTTGAGGAACTGCGTGATAATGCGGTTTGTTTGGCGGACGCGATTCAACATTCTCACGGCCTGGCGTGTGCGATGCCGCAGGGAGCGATGTTTATCATGGTGAAGGTCAACACCGACCTCTTCAAAGACATCAAGGATGACTTTGAGTTCTACGAGAAGTTGGAGGACGAAGAGAATGTGCAGGTGGTCCCTGGAGAGTTCTTTCACATGCATGGCTGCTTCCGCGTCGTTGTGTCACGTCCAAAGAAAATAGCGGTTGAGGTCGCTGCACGCATTCATAACTTTTGCGAGCGACACAAGAAGGTGCAATAGGGCGGAAAGGTGAAGCAGAGAAGGGTAAAAGGAAGAAGAAAAACGTGGGTCTTATGGGGATGTGGTAAACTGAGGGGGATGGACGAGGCGAACGCTAAACAAATTGAACGGGCGTCGAAGGAAGGCTACATGGATAGGCACGTATCTGCTGCGTGGGCACAGACTCACAAGTGTCAGTGGGCCTCAGTGTGAACGGGTGAGGGCCGCCGCGGGACCCCAATTCGGTGGACTCACCCACCACACGGTGGCGGTGGCGGTGGCGGTGGCGGTGGGTTGCCTTTTCTGTCGGTCTGCACCTTTGTGTCTTCACTTTTGGCTTGCAATACCCCCCCCCACACACGCAACCAAACAAATACCACCACCGCCACCACAGCCACCGCCCGATTCTGCCTATTTTTCCTTTTGATGCTGGCTTCGGTTGTGTCTCTTGCTTTAATCATTTGCTCGCTATAGTTAAGCCTCTAGTACATGTGTGCATATGTAAGTGTGCCATTTCCTTCTGAATACACGCCGGGTGATGGTGATGGTATCGTTCACTTATTGTGTGTGTACGTGTGTATGTGTGTGTGCGTGCATGTACGTATGGGATTAAGTGATTGTAAACACCTCTATAGCGACTATGTCTTTTATATATTAGTTTGTGTATGTGTGTATGTGTGTGTATACTTTTCGCTCTCCCTCGCTGGGTGGGTGGAGGGAGAAGGAGGAGACGGCAAAGCAGGGCGTGGAGAGCGTTAGCGGGAAGGAAGGAATGGGAGCGTGCGGCTGAGAAACACAACGCTGCACGAGGTAAACCCGATCCCGGCCTCACTGCCCCACCGGGCTCCTTTGCACATCTCACTTTGTACCATCCTCTTTTTTTTTCTTCCTTTTTTCTTTCCTATCCTCTCCGCTGCACGCAACTGTGAAGAAACAGCATTACTGGAGAATAAATACGCGAAATTTGTAGTTCATACATATATACATATATATATATATAGTTATCCCGCTTCCGCCACAGGACCACGGATAATAGCCATCTCTGCCCCACGCACATTACAAGAAGCAGGGAAGAAAGATTAAAGAGAGGTCACGGGAAGAAATGGCCGTTAAGGTTGGCATCAATGGCTTTGGCCGCATCGGTCGCATGGTTTTCCGTGCGGCGCGGAACCGCAAGGACATCGAAATTGTCGCCATAAACGACCTGCTGGACGCTGAGTACATGGCGTACATGCTGAAATACGACTCCACGCACGGCCGCTATGAGGGCAAGGTGGAGGTGCAGAACGGTGCCCTCGTCGTTGATGGCAAGAAGATCCGCGTGACGAGCGAGCGCGACCCCGCCCAAATCAAGTGGAATGAAGTCGGCGCGGAGGTCGTCGTTGAGGCGACCGGCATCTTCCTCACCGACGAGACCGCCCGCAAGCACATTCAGGCCGGCGCAAAGAGGGTCGTCATGACAGGCCCGCCAAAGGACGACACGCCCATGTTTGTCATGGGCGTGAACAACAAGACGTACAAGGGCCAGGAAATCGTCTCAAACGCCTCCTGCACCACCAACTGCCTCGCACCGCTCGCGAAGATCGTTCATGAAAACTTCGGCATCGTTGAGGGCCTCATGACAACGGTCCACGCCGTCACGGCCACGCAAAAAACCGTTGACGCACCCTCGCACAAGGACTGGCGCGGTGGCCGTGGAGCGTCGCAGAACATCATTCCGTCCTCCACCGGCGCAGCCAAGGCGGTCGGCAAAGTTATCCCTGCGCTTAACGGCAAGCTGACGGGCATGGCGTTCCGTGTGCCGACCCCCAACGTGTCGGTCGTCGACCTCACCGTGCGCCTGGAAAAGCCGGCAACCTACGCGCAGATCTGCGCTGCCGTCAAGGCGGCCGCCGAGGGAGAGCTGAAGGGAATTGTTGGCTACACGGAGGACGAGGTCGTGTCCACCGACATGAACGGCGTCCCACTGACCTCCGTCTTCGACGTGAAGGCCGGAATTTCCCTCAACGACCACTTTGTGAAGCTTGTCTCTTGGTACGACAACGAGACGGGGTACTCCCACAAGGTGCTGGACCTCGTGGCATACGTCGTAGCGCACTAGCGAGGCCGACGGGATCGGGGACCACAAAAGAAGTACAAAAGGAAAAAAAAATAACGAGAAAAACGATACACACAAAAAACGATTTGGAGGCCTATGACACAGTGAGACAGAAAAGATTTCTTGATGGGAGAGAGGCATATGCAGACATTCACGCAGGGGTGGAGAAAAAAATAGTATGCATCTACGTTACGCATTCATACGCCTGTACAACTACATAAGCGAGCAACAGATATAAAAAAACGCAAAATCAATACAAGGCATTATTCTCTGGAGAATCACTGCACACTACTGGATTAATCGAGCAGAGAAAGCGCTTGTATTACTGAATTTACATGAATGTCAGATTAGGTTTTTTTTTATTGCAGGCGAGGGATTTTATTTGTGGGGATAGTTTAATTTCAATAATCAGGCTCCCCCACATGCATAGCAACAATTACTTCCTTTTCATTTACCACATCCTGTGCATGTGGAGGGTCACGGTTCAACTCACCGCACTTTCTCAGCTGCGTCTGTGCGTGAGAGAGAGCTCAGGCACGCCTCGTGTAATATTTTGTGGGTAGAGCCTCCCGATTCAGTTCAGCCCCTATGCACCTCTGTTTTTCCTACGCACTCGCTGATCTTCACCAGAAGGTAGAGCCGGCAAAAAAACCAGAACACAACCGCCACACAGTCGACCCTATGACGCGGCTTCACGACACACAAAGGGAGTCACGCAATAACTCACGCCAAACGACCAAATTTATCCGAGACTTTTATCAATTCGCTTTTATCATGCAGCAATAAAAGAAAATAATAAAAAGCTAGAGAAAACCATCACACCCACGCAGAACGGCAGGCTGCGGAGGGCTGCAGCCCCATCCCTCCGGCGGTTCAACAACATGATCCAAGAGAGTGCGGCGCGCGTCGGCGGTAGTTGATGACGAATTTCTTATTTATGTAACTCGGGAAATCTGAGTGCGCCCATTGACGACCCAACGGAGATATCGTTAGATAGTAGCGCTGATGCCGCCTACGCCTCCGCGCCGCCCAGCTCAACCGCCTCCGCGAGGCCGTGTCTGCCATCCCTTGTAATAGCGAGCGGACCCTCAGGGCGTCACCGCAAGCCGCTCGTCTACACCGGGGGAAAGAAGTTGAGGCGCGGGGGGGACGACGAGGGTGCCCGCCCCTGCTCCGCAGACACACGCACGGAGAGCTGCAGGTATGCATGTGCGTGCCTGCTTGCATGACCGAGAATGATGAGATGCGTGGGGCTCTTTGTAGCACGCGACACGGCGCCGCA